TGCAGTGAGCCAAGATCCACTATTCTTCAGCCTGGGAGACTGAACAAGGCCCTATCTAAAAAATAAAATTAAAATAAAAAATAAAATTAACTCTCTAGTTCTGTGTGATTTCAAGAAGGGATAAAGTTCAGAGCTTTGGGGTAGGCTACCTATTTGGAAGGACTTCTCTCTAGAATCAGCTGATAGGAAAAGCTTCCCAAATCCCAGGAAGGTGTCTATATCTCACACGAATACCAGGATTAATGACATCCTGCTGACCCTCAAAACCGATCATGTTCAAAGCACGTGAACCACCCATGAATTACAGTTAAAAGCCAGAGAAGGGAAATCACAGATACCCTCGGCCTTATCTTGCAGGTGATGGGGTAGAAGAAACTTGAAATATGTGTCATCCCATTAAATGGCCATTTGGGTACTTAAAGGACTAACACTTATCAAGGTAGGGTGGAAACAGGAATGCAGGCCTGCTGGCTGTAGTAAGACATCAACTCCACCTGCTCCCTCCCTGCCAAGTTTAGGCCTTTAGGCCATGCTCACTGAGAAGCCTACCTGGTTGAGACGCTGCATCTTGCCTGGCTCTGTAGCAAGCCCTCCGCTGGAGCTCTGCTGGACTAGCCCCTGCTTGAGGGGGCTGCTGCTTGGCTGGAAATGGGCTTGCTGAGAGGCCTCCTGCCCAGCAGGGGCAAGGGCCACCTCCTGAGGATGTTCCAGCAGCTCTGGCCCCCGTGACAGAAACCTCTCCATGGCTCTGATGCCCTCGTGCTCACCCTCACTAGGAATCCTAGAAGACTCAGCTGCCATGCAACAGACTGTGCTGGCGCTGTGTCTGTACGGCATGTCCTGCATGCTCTCAGGCAGCCCCAGGCCCTCCAGCCGCCTGGAGAGCTTGACCATCTGCAGGATATGCTGATAGAACCTCTGGTCCTCAGAATAGTCTTCACTTTCTGACTGCTCCTCGACAGAGCTCTGAATGTGGGACATGTGAGGAACTAAGAAGGGGCTGAAGTGTTGATCTCTGAGTCCCGAGTCTGACTGACCCATACCCTCCTCAGATCCCCGTGAGCTCTGCCGGTCCCAAGGGAAGTTGTTCACCTCATCCAGGATGGGAGAGCCCAGGTGTGAGACCAGGTTGCTACTGCTGCTGCTGTTGCTATTCTCCAAGTCAGGCCCAGACACGCTAGGCTTCTGATCTTTACAAGGGAGCTCTGCAGACCCTGGGGGCTGTCTCTTCTCACCAGCAGGAGGCTCCCCAGGGGCCCTCCCTGAAAAGGCATTCTGAGCTGGTTCTGATGCCAGGGTCTCAGGTGGTATTAGCAAGAGCCCCTGAGGTAGATCTTCAGCTAAGACCCCTAGAGCCTCAGGGTCACCGGGCTCTGTTTCCTTGCAGCTTCCTGGGATGTCCTTTTTCACAAGCTTGGAGACCTGTCCCAGCCACAGTCCAGGAGGTTCTCTTCTCCTCCTCCCACTGCCTATGTTCCCACCTTCCCCAGAAACTCCCTGCCAGCTCAGGTCTTCAGCAGGGCTGCTATCTAACAACAACTTGCTCTTCCTGGCAGGCAACATGTGTTCAGAAGAACCAGATGACTGGGAGGGCTCCTCCTCAGGGGATGACATGGGAATGGGGCTTTGGCCCTTGTCGCCTCCAGGGCCAGTGGAGCTCAGTTTGGCTAAGCTGTGGCTGTGCTGCTCCCCTTGCAGTGGCAGGCCCTTGATGGCTTCAGAAAGCTCTGAGTGGACAGGGGCTTGGCTCCTGCTTTCTACCACATCCTGCCCATTCTGGAGAGGCCCAGTGTTCTGAGAGGCTGGAGTGTCCAGTTTCTGCTCTCTGCTCCTCATTTCCAGCTCTTCAGTTTCGGGGTCTGAAAACCCCAGGTAGATTTTCTCTGTCGACTTCTGGAGTTTCTCCAGACCCTGCTGATCACCTAATTCTCTCCTGCACTGGGCTGGGGCCCTGCCTAAGATTTTCTCCACGTCGGCAAAGACCTGGTGGGTTCGGGAAGCTTGGCCTTTGGAGAGTGACTGCAGCCTTCTGGGACAGGCACCCATGAGAGGCCAGGGGGTGTCGCCCACCATGCCCGGGCTCTTTCCTTTGTTACAGGACCCCTCGCTTCTAGTCTGAGTATCTTGATCTAGGTCCAGATCAGTAAGCCCAGGTGCTGACAGAGGGGATGGGCTGCAGAGAAAGGAGGAAGGAGGCAGAAGTCCCTCCTCAGGCTGTGTTTCCTAGATGGGTATATAAACATGCAGAGAAAACGAAGACAAAGCACTTCTGATTTACACTTGCCACCTCCGCCCTTGGCAAGCCCTTAGCAGAAACCCAGCCTCTATTTAAAGTAAAATATAAACTGAAGAGGGAGGAAAACATAAAAACTCCCTTGGGCTGAAAATAAGTTGTTTTCTAGGATCTAGTTTCCGTATCTACAAAGAGGAGGCTGAACTAGATCAATGGTTTGCAAACCTTGCTCCCTGGAACCTGGGAAGTTCAGTACCTTGGGGTCCACAGTAGTGTACACATGACAGAGAAGAGGCGTCACAAAGACCCACACTGCCAAGTTCAACCAAAGCAGCTCCATTTCTTTTTTTATAAGCTAGACCTCTATAGAGGACAAACTAAAGTCTGAAAAGCAACAACCAGATTATCCCTAAGGTACTATCCAGCTCTCAGATTCTGTGATTGGTTAGTTTTATAAAATGCACCAACCTTGGGGCATGTGTGGTGGCTCACACCTGTAATCCCAGCACTTTAGGAGGCTGAGGCAGGCGGATTACTTGAGGTCAGAAGTTCAAGACCAGCCTGGTCAACATGGTGAAACCCCTCTCTACTAAAAATACAAAAAAATTAGCCAGGTGTGGTGGAGTGTGCCTGTAGTCCTGCTCCTCAGGAAGCTGAGGCATGAGGATTGCTTGAACCCAGGGGGTGGAGGTTACAGTGAGCCAAGATCATGCCACTGTACTCCAGCCTGGGCAACAGAGCAAGACTCTGTCTTAAAAAAAAATAAAAATAAAAAATAAATAAAAAAATAAAAAATTCCACCAACCTTATCAAGGACTCCAGAAATTTTTTTTTTAACAGGGAGAGAAGAGAAGCATAACAAATGACCTGAGACTTGAAAACTCACTCCAGTGCTGTCTACCAAAGCAACAAGTTGGTATTGCATGAAAGACTTCCACATGGTCACCAACTCTCTGGGCTAGGAAAAATTCTAAAACATCAACCACCCCTCTACAAACATGCACACTGAACCCCACCTGGCTGTGTGTCAGTGCACACCTCCAGGGAGTCCAAACCACCTGCGTCCAGGCTGCCCACCTGGCTCAGAACTGTCCCCTGGACAAAATCAAATTTGAGGCACCTGTCCTGAGCCCTAAGAACTACACTGACAGCCCAGGGCTATGGTTTCCCTTCTGAAACCATAGAAGGAACTCTTTAACAGAAGGCTCTAAGAACCCAATCACACACCTACATCTCATTCCTTCACCCAACTCTCCACCCCAGAACCCTCACTTCATTCCTCTTCCCACCTTTCGTCAAGCCAGAGTCTGCCCAGATGCCTAACTTCCATTTCAAATAATTCTGGGTCCGTGAAAAGCTCCATAGCCACCTTTTGCTGTTCAAACACGGTATTAAAAAACCTGGCCTAGCTGGAAATTACGTACCCTATTTTCTCCATCTGGAGGAATGGGCTTGTTACCATATTTCTCAGAACCATAAGTAATATGTCAGGGAGGGGAAGGAAGACAGAAGCGTCTGTGGCGCTTGGACAAGAGGAAGCTCTGGAGGGAAACAAAAACTATATAACTAAAGAGCAAACAATCAGACCACCGAAGAGAGCTGAAACGATGTTCCTAGTGCTCCTCACTGACTGAACTAAGTTCCTGTGTCCCTCCCTCTCTTCAGCATGCCCCACCTGCCCCAGGCCTGGGTAAAAGGACGACCACAGCATTCTGGGAGAGCCTGGGCCTCACTTTGGCATGGCTCCAGGTCTTAGTTGCTCCACCTGAATCACGTGGGCAATAACTCCAACCTCCTAGGTTCAGATATACTGAAGGGACAAATAAAATGATAATTAATATGAACACTTTGAACTCAAATACAAAAGCTACTTATAACCAAGAAAATCAGGCCGAGCCTGGCGGCTCATGCCTGTAATCCCAGCACTTCCGGGAGGCCAAAGAGGCGGGTGGATCACCTGAGGTCAGGAGTTCCAGATCAGCCTGGTCAACATGGTGAAACCCTATCGCAACTAAAAATATAAAAATTAGCCAGGCAGTGTAGCGGACACCTGTAATCCCAACTACTCAGGAGGCTGAGACATGAGAATCACTGGAGCCTGAAAGGCAGAGGTTACAGTGAGCCGAGATCGCACCACTGCACTCCAGCCTGGGTGACAGAACGAGACTCCGTCTCCAAAAAAAAACAAGGAAATCACATTGCAATTAAACTTCAGTTATCCACCACTCGCTGAGGACACTGGCAACAAAGGCAATCTAGATGAGGAGATAACGTCCAAGGCTTTTCTTTCGAATTCTTGAAGGCACTGGTATTTTGACAACTCAATTTGGCTCATCTGACATCTAGGAATTTGCACCACTTTAAGATAAATAAAGAACGCACACTAGGGAGACCTGACTCTGAATAAAAAGAAAGGACACTTCACTCAGCTCACTGGCCTCTGCCAACTGCTTTCAGTCCACACTCTCCAGAGCAGCAGATGCCATCACTTCTACTACTACTGCAAAAATCCACTCTCAGCAGAGCACTCTCTCTCATCAATCCTATTAGATGGGGAAAAAAGGAAATGTGTAGAGATGGCAACAATTTCCAGAAGCTGAAAGGAAAATCTACCAGAAGACAGGCAAAGTTTAGATAATGTACTATCAAGAATTTACTATATTCTGACTGTTGTCTTCAACCTCCCAGCTGCAGACAACTAGCGGTTCCCAACATCCCTCCAGATTTCAGCCCTGGCCTCTCTGGGAGGAGGCATCCACTGACTCACCAGGGAACTTTTAGGGGTCTCTTTGTCCTTCTTGTCTTTCTTTTCCTTTTTCTTTTTCTTCTCTTTCTTCTTAATGACCCCAGAAGTTGACAGCTTTGCCCGCTCTTGGATCACCAAGTTCCGATAGTGTTCGTCACATGGATGGTCCCACATAGACTGCCCATTGGCGAAGTTGAAATAATAAATGTCACCTGTGGTGTGCTGGCTAGGGATGGGCAGAGTTCAAAAGTTAGTCGCTGCTCAGGTACAATAGAAGAAAAAGAAAAAGGGAGATGAGGTGAAAGAGGAGGAAGAGAAGGGGGTGGAAAAAGGAGAGAAAAGATAGAATGAGCGGGGTTAAGAGCAGAGGGAAAGAAAGGATTAACACAAAATCAAAGGGTACCATTTGGCTAAGAAGGAGTTAGCTTAGGTACAGGAAGAAAGGATTGGCATACCTCAGGACTTCTCTAAATGGTAATTTATAATCACTGGAGTTTTTAAGAATGCATGCTGGACTAGTGTAGGAAGGAACTTGGTTTTATTTAGATGGAGAACTATAAACACTATGATACACTGAACATAAGTGCTAGGATAAATTTTAATTTTTTTTTTTTAAGAGATGGAGTCTCTCTCCACCTCCTAGGTTCAAGTGATTCTCCTGCCTCAGCCTCCCAAGTAGCTGAGATTACAGGTGCATGCCACCATGCCCAGCTAATTTTTTGTATTTTTAGTAGAGACAGCATTTCACTTTGTTAGCTAGGATGGTCTCGATCTCCTGCCCTCATGATCTGCCTGCCTTGGCCTCCCAAAGTGCTGGGATTACAGGCATGAGCCACCATGCCTGGCCATCTTAATATTTTAATAAACAGTCTGAGGAAGAACAATGCATTGTGAGAGCTCTGGTTTTACAGAAGACTCTAAACTCATAAGAAGTAATCATCCAAGCTAGTGTGGACCGATGGTAAAATAAAATAATGTAGGAGGTATATTTCAAGAAGTGTTTCAACATGGGTAAGTCCAAAATAAACCATTCATCTCATCCACCATCAACAACAATGTATTAGGACAGCTAACTGGAAAAAAGAAGTCCACTCACAACAATAATGCAAAGTATTTTATACTCACGCATAAACCTAAAATGTGCAAAATCTTTAGAGTTTTACTGAAAAGTCAGGAAAAAAAAAAAGAAAAAACCACTGGAGAGGCATTTGGTATTCCAGAATACAAAGACTCAAGTTGGTAAAGATGCCAATAATCCTAAAATTAATATATAAATCCAATCCAATTCTCATAAAGCTCCTTATGAAATTTGACAAAATAAATCTCAATTCAAACAAAAAGAAATGAAAAATAGATGAGAAAATGAGCAGAAATTTTAAAAAAATCAGGTAAATAAGGACAGTGATAGAAGATATTCAAATGACCAATAAGCACATGAAAAAATGTCCAACATCAGTAAACATTAGGAAAGTGCAAATCAAAACGATAACGAGTCGAGCACAGTGGCTCATGCCAGTACTACCAGCACTTTGGAAGGCCAAAGCAAGAGGATCACAAGGTCAGGAGTTCAAGACCAATCTCACCAATATGGTGAAACCCCATCTCTACTAAAATTACAAAACAGCCAGGCATGGTGGTGCATGCCTGTAACCCCAGCTACTTGGGAGGCTGAGGCAGGAGAATCGCTTGAACCTGGAAGGCGGAGGTTGCAGTGAGCAGAGATCATGTCATTGCACTCCAGCCTGGGCAACAGAGCAACAGCAAGACTCCATCTAAAAAAGCAAACCATAATGAAATGCCACTTCACACCATAAGCATGGCTATTATCAAAAACCCCAAAAATAAAAGCCTGGATAACATAGTGAGACCTTGTCTCCACAAAAAAAAAATTTTTTTTAATTAGCCAGGCACAGTGACACACATCTGTAGTCCCAGCTACCCAGAAGACTTGAGGTGGGAGAATCACTTGAGCCCAGGAGTTCAAGGCTCCAGTGGGCTATGATCACACCACCGAACTTCAGTCTGAGTGACAGAGCCAGACCCTGTCTCAAAAAATAAAAATAAAAATAAAAGGCCGGGTGCAGTGGCTCACGACTATAATCCCAGTACTCTAGGAGGTCAAGGTAGGTGGATCACCTGAGGTCAGGAGTTCGAGACCAGCCTGATCAACATGGTGAAATCCTGTCTCTACTAAAAAACACAAAAATTAGCTGGGCATGGTGTCGTTCACCTAGCTACTTGGGAGGTTGAGGCAGGAGAATCGCTTGAACCCAGGAAGTGAAAGTTGCAGTAAGCCGAGATTGTGCCATTGCACTACAAACTGGATGATAGAGAACAATTGTATACTGCTGGTAGGAATGTAAAACGGTGCTTCAGTAAATAGCATGGGGGTTCCTCAAAAAAATTAAATCAAATTTAATATGAAATAGAATTTAACTTAAATATAAAATAGATTTCACAATAAATTAAACAATTTTAAAATAGCTGGGTAGGCCAGGCATAGTGGCTTACGCCTGTAATCCCAGCACTTTGGGAGGCCGAAGCAGGCGGATCACTTGAGGTCAGGAGTTCAAGACCAGCCTGGCCAACATGGTGAAACTCCGCCTCTACGAAAATACAAAAAAATTAGCTAGACATAATGGCACACCTGTAATCCCAGCTACTGGGGAGGCTGAGACAGGATAATCGCTTTAACCCAGGAGGCAGAGGTTGCAGTGAGCTAAGATCATGCCACTGCAATCCAGCCTGGCCTGGACTATAGACCGAGACTTCATCTCAAAAAAAAAAAAAATTGCTGGGCACTGTGGTGCACACCTGTAGTCCTAGCCACTTAGGAGGCTAAGGCAGGAGGATCCCTTGAACCCAGCTGTTTGAGGCTGCAGTGAACTATGATTACACCACTGTACTCCAGCCTGGGTGATACAGCAATATCCCATCTCTAAAAAAAATTAATTTAATTTAAAATAGAATTACCATGTAACCCAGCAATTCCATTTCTGGGCATATACCCAAAAGAACTGAAAGCAGGGAGTCAAACAGATATTTGTACTCCAATGATCACAGCAGCATTATTCACAAAAGATGAAAAGAAAACCAAATGTCCATTGACAGATAAATTGATAAACAGGGCCAGGCACAGTGGCTCACGCCTGTAATCCCAACCCTTTGGGTGGCCAAGGCAGATAGATCACTTGAGATCAGGAGTTCGAGACCAACATGGTGAAACCGTCTCTACTAAAAATACAAAAATTACCCCAGGCATGGTGGTGCGTGCCTGTCATCCCAGCTACTCGGGAGGTGGAGGCAGGAGAATCACTTGAACCCAGGAAGCAGAGGTTGCAGTGAGCCAAGATAGCACCACTGCACTCAAGCCTGGGTGACAGAGTGAGACTGGCTCTAAAAAAAAAAAAAGAAAAAAAAAAAAAAACTGAGAAACAGATAAATAGAATGTTGTATATACATGCAACAGAATATTATTTTATTCAGCCTTAAGAATGAATTCTCTTGCATGCTACAACATAGATGCACCTTGAGGATATTATGCTAAGTAAAGGAACTCAGACACAAAAAGACAAATATTGAATAATTCCACTTATATGAAGTATCTAGAATAGGCAAATTCATAAAGCCAGAAAGCTGGGTGGTGACGGCCAGAGATTAAGGAGAGAGAAAAATAGGGAATTAACATTTAATGGCTATAGAGTTTCAGTTTGGGGATGAAAAAATTCTGGAGATGGATGGTAGTGATAGCTATGCAACACTGTCAATGTACTTAATGCTGCAGAACTGTTCTCTCAAAAATGGTTAAAATGGCAAATTTCATGTTACGTATATTTTACCACAATTAAGAAAAAAATCACATACAAATCTATTGACTTCAGTATGACAAAAGAAAGCATAAACTAAATTAAAAGACATGTGACTGGGAGAAAATAGTGGAAATAATAGTGCTAAGATACCACGATTATTATGCAGAACACCCAGAATAATCAGAGTTCTGCACCTTAACAAAAATAAAAAGATAAGCAATCTACTAGACAAAAAGGCAAGGGACATAAACAGGCAAATCACGAAAGATCAACAGATGGCCAATTCAACTCTACAAACAACTTAGGAAATGCAATTTAAAATGACCCATTGTTATATCTTGCCCCTGGATTGACTATTTTTTTATTGACAATTTTTTAATTGATAATATTTCTAGGCTGGGTGCTGTGGCTGCCTATAACCCCAATGCCCTGGGAGGCCAAAGCAAGCAAATTGCTTGAGCCTAGTAGTTCAAGACCACCCTGGGCAGCATGGCATAACTCCATCTCCACAAAAAAAAAAAAAAAGAAAGAAAAAGAAAAATTAGCCAGGTGTGGTGACACACACCTGTAGGCCTAGCTACTCGAGAAGCTGAAGTGGGAAGATTGCTTGAGCCTGGGAGGTAGAGGATGCAGTGAATCATGATAGCATCAGTGTACTCCAGCCCAGGCAAGAGAGCAAGATTCTGTCTCCAAAAAAAAGAGGAAGAAAGAAAAGAAAAAAGAAAAGAAACAGATGCCTTCTGTCATTTATTTTCTTAGAAGTATGATAGAGAATGACTAGCCAATATAATAATACAAGAAAATCATTTTTAAAACTTAAATATTGAAAATGGAATAAAAACACTGTCTTTGGCCAGGCACAGTGGCTCACGCCTATAATCCCAGCACTTTGAAGGCCAAGGCAGGTGGATCACTTGAGGTCAGGAGTTCTAGACCAGCCTGACCAACACAGTGAAACCCCGTCTCTACTAAAAAATAAAAAAATTAGCCGGGCATAGTGGCAGGCACCTGTAATCCCAGCTATTCAGAAGGCTGAGGCAGGAGAACCGCTTGAACCCAGGAGGCAGATGTTTCAGTGAGCCGAGATCACACCACTGCATTCCAGCCTGGGCAACAGAAGTTGGAGGATTTGCCTTAAATGATTTCAAGATTTGTTATAAAACTACAGTAATCAAGACAGAATGGTATTGGTGTGAAGACAGACAAACAGATGAATGGAATAGAGGAGACAATCCAGAAACAGCCTTCACTTCATAGCCAATTAGAAAAATATCGAAATGTCCTTCAATATAAGAACAGTCAAGTAATTCAAGATTTTTGAAAATTGTGGTACCTCTCTACATGGGAAAGTATGCAGCTGACGCAAGAATTCGTGTGTAGACCCACACAAATAGACATAAAAGAATGGTGTGTATAA